TATTTGCAACATAGTACATAGTTGCTTAGAGTTGCAGCTGAGAGGCCGGCAAGTTATGCGGGGAAAGTTGGAGTCCGCAGTCACTGGAGCAAGCAAGCCTCATGTTCGCTTCCAGCTGCCTGGCTGCCGGCCGCCATCTTGGCTGACAGTTAATTTGCATAAGGATATGCTGATTAGCCAATGGGAAGGGTAGCGGTTGTACGCTAATTACCATGTTTCTCTTTTATTAGTGTAGATATACACACACACACACACACACACATAGATGAACTGACAAGGCTCATTGAACTGACAAGGCTCATAAAGAGTAAACTCTTTCTGTACTTGATCCCATTCTTTCCTACTTATCCAAGGATATCACTCCAGCTCTCTCTCTTCTCCTCTATTGTTATTTTTCCCTACCCACTGGAACCCTCCTATCAGCATACAAATATGCTATTTAGTCTACCATCCTAAAAAATTCCTCTTTTGATCTCATTTTCTATGTTTCTAATTTCTTTATTTCTCTTTATAGAAAATTTCTGCAATCTCTGTACAATCAGATGTAACTTCGCAACTAAAAAGCATTTACAGAGTTCAGAGTCAGACAGACTTAACCAGAATCTGAATCTTGACTTTATTAATTCACTAGCTGTGAACTTAGTAAAGATTTCCCTAGTTCTCAATTTTATTGTCTGTATAATGGGAAAACTAATCTTCACCTAAGATTGCTCTAAAGAGAGAACATTAGAATATCTACAAATCACTTACCAGGTGTCTGCCATGTGATTTGCACTCAATCAGTAGCACTTATAATTAATTTTGAGAAAAGTAAACAGTTAAGTGGAAAGAAATAAAAACTGTAAGAAATGGGGCAAAGCAAGAGTCTATTCTTCCCCATCTCTAGGGTTCTATGATTTTTATTGAGATTCCCAAGGGAAAGGGGCTGAGAGGGTCAATTGGTTTTTAAGCCAAGAATCATGTTTCTTCTTAGTTTTGTTTGTAGTGTTGCCATTGTATAATGGAAAGATAATTCTGAAGTAACATAAAATACTTATGCCAAAATTATATTCTTAAGTAACTCTCCCCAAATTTAAAACTAGGCAAGCTGCTAAAAGTGGAGCTCATTTTCAATTATGTTTTATTATTTAAAAAGTTTTGGATTAGTCCCAGGTGCATGCTTAAAATGGGCCACTTTTTTTCTGGGGACCAACAATGCTTATCAGGACATCTGGATTAATCTTGTTTAAGATTACTTCACTCATCTCCGTTTTGCTACTGATTCTAGAACCAGAAACTACTAATACATCTTTATAATTTTTATTATTTTTTATTATTTTTATTCTTTTCTTGGGTATTTTGTGGAGCAGAGGAAGACAAGGATAGAACTTTTCTATTCCATTACAAATGCTTTTGACATCTTTTTGTACTATGAAATCTTGTGCCTTTTCATATCTGAGGTACCTAGGAAATCAAATTCTTAAAAATAATGCTGTGTAGGAGTCTCTCAGAGAAGAGATTGTATCCCAGAAGTTGTGTGTGGGTAACTGAGGACAGATTTGCAGATTTCAGCCCAATCTGGTTTAATTTTTTTAAAGCTGTATCATGGGAAAATCATGTTCCTAAGGCTTGAAATTTGAAGGGGAGAGAGAATGGAAAATCAGGCCTGTCCAGCACCTTCTGCCATCCCACCCCCTGCTGGAGGCTGTGTGTGGGCTTCTCACTTAATCATGGGAGGCAGTTCTCTTTAACAGCTGCTTTTGGCAGTTTGAGAAAGACAGCACTGCCATCTGGTATTTCTGTGTATGGCATGACAGTCAAGAGTGCCGGAATTGGGGTCAGGGCAACAGGGATGGAATTCTGCTTATACCAATTGGGATATCACATAGCAGTAACTTGTGACTATGGGGTAGGGAAGGTTCTTTTAAAGTTTACCCCCATCTATCACCCACACTTGATCTCCATCAGCCCATGGTTACCACCATTCTTAACATAAACGAATGAACTTTTCTCAAACTCAGCACTACTCATTTTTTTCCTATACAGAAATTCCAAGACACCCACTAACAGTGACCTTGAACAAGTGAAAGTTCTCTGAGCCTCAGTTTCTTATGTAGAGGTTTCTTGAGGATTAAATGAGAAGCATTTGATATGATACCTGACATAGAGTTCAATAAAGGATAACTATGATCACTGTTAACACCTCAGAGTTTAAATAAATGCCATTGCTTACCTACAGTTATTTGTCTGGTCAGGAAGACCTCAGATGCAAATTAAGATAGCAATTATTTAATTACATTCCATCTGCTTATTTGGAAGAAAGCTTGCTTTCCCATACAAGGAAGCAAATTACCAAGGCAAATCATAGGCTATAAACAATATAAAAATATACCTATAATAAAAAGACAGTGTTCCTACTGTTTTTATATAGAAGGCTGGTATGGGGGATTATTTGCAAACACCCCTAAACTAGATTTTTTTTGTTTAGAATTAATTCTTCACGTCAAGATAGAAAGCACCATTTCAACCAGTGATTTTACCATAGTCCCTTAAGCTCTTGTGGAGGAAATATAGATTATATTGATCAAATATAACAATATACTAACCTTGAGCTTTATTCATAGTATTAGAAACAATTCCAAACTACTTGGTAGAAAGCATATAAGGTCGGTTGTAAAGACGATTTTTCCATAGCAATAACTCCCATTGCTTGTGTTGTTACAAAAATTAAATAAATAAATAAATAAATGGGATAATTAAGGTGACTATGCCTGTAACATACCAAAAAATGAAAGCAAAATTAATTTTGCTCTTTATTTTTTCTAATTGATTTCCTCCAGTTCATCCTTCACTGAGACTTGTTCTGAGTACTAAATGCAAGTCAGATGAAAAGAAAAGAAATGGAAAGGAATACAAAGCTAAGAACCTGACCAAAAATGTAGAAAGGCAATTTTTCAAAAAATGTAAATTCACCATTTGATTAGAATGTCTGG